AGCAACAGATTGACCCCTGCTATGTAATATTTAAAGGGATGACTCTTTCCCTGAGATTCATCCCCCAGACAATTATTACCATACAAACCCAAGTACCTTACTAAATATTACCTTATAATAAATAGTGAGTGGGGTTTTTACAGTAGTCTACTTTCTCTCTTACATTAGTACACTTCCACCCATACCTGTACTAGTCTTTATAAGTTAATTAATTAACTTATAAGACTAGTACTCCTTCTTTATCTCTTATAACCTTTGAGCTCAGGCACTGTGAAGCTCATTTCACAGTTGTCCCTTATATTTATAAGGAGCTAGCCCCTCCACTTTATTAGTGTTGAGTTGGGCTTATTTTCCACTGGCCACTCCTTGGCTATAGTGTGACCCAAAAAACCCATCAACTCTTTGTCACATAATAATGGAAACTGAAGTGCTGATGACTTGAGCACGAAACAGATGAGTTGTTATAGAGTTTGTTAATGATCTCTGCCTTGAACAATTTCTTGCTAAGGCACTTTAATCAAAAACTAGAGCTCCATTGCTAATACTACTACTACTTGTTATTGGTTAATTGTTAATGTACTACTACTTATATGATGACTACTACTACTAATATGCTTCCAATTCCGAACTCTGTGTTGGTTTCACACTTACAATACTGTACTAACTCTCTACATATCACTAACTAACTCACTTACTAACTTATTCTTCAACTTGGGTGATCGAACTTACTTCCGTAGGTTGATGTACTAACTTCACTAACTAACTAACTATCACTAATTTTAAATCTTCACTTTACTGACACTCTGGAACACTTCCAGTAGCTCAGGATCAACTTACTGCTCTGCGAGACTTCTGTAGGCTGATGGGGAGAAGACACTTTCTGGTGGGGAGATGTCCTTCTTTTATATTGAATAGTGAGGGATTTCTGCTGCAGGGGACTCCTTGTGAGGGAATATTGCTGCAGGGGATCTCACCTGCACAGCCTTTGCACACAGCCTCCAAACAAATAGCGCAGCTTATGCTGTGCTAGGAACACTTAACTCCAGACCTTGTCGCATAACATGCATGCAAGGGAGCACACAAGCGCAGCATGATGTCATGCATTGCCAGGCAACCAAGCCATCTTCCAGAACCAAGCGCAGCATGATGTCATGTGTCGCAACGGTGGGCCGCTACACTAACCGTAGCGGTTAGTGTAGCGTAACGCAGCGGAATTCCCGTTAGCGTTAAGCGTAGCGTAGCGGAATTCCGCCACGACACCGCTAACGCTACGCGTGTGGGCCACAAAAAAGGGCCCACTACGCTGCGCTACAGCCGTTTTTAGCAGTTTTTAGCCGCTTTTTCCGCTAAAAGCGCTGTAGCGCAGCGTAGCGTAGCGAAAATGCGCTACAAAAGCGCTAACACTACAAAAATTTGGCGCAAAAAAAGCGCCGCTACGCTACGCTTTTTGGGCCAAAAGCGTAGCGTAGCGTAGCGGCCCACCGCTGTGTGTCGCCAGGTAACCAAGCCATCTTCCAGAACACTCTGCATAGGCAGTACCAGCCTGCCAGACCTGCTGTTATCTCCTTCCATCCAAAGTTTGGGGGTCAAAGCCTCTCCTCACTCCTTCCTTCCTCCCTCCGCCTCAATATTTTTCCTCCCTTCACTTTCCACAATCCGTACCCTGTACCCTTACGTAAAAACATAAAGTACC